TGTATGTTGTACAAGAACCAGAAGAAATAAAGTAAAGTGAAGAAAACAATCTAGAAACTTCATCAACCTCTGCCATGTCCAGGTGCAACGGCTGGCCTGAAGTGAGGTCATCTATGCATCTATAACCCGCCACCACCACCACCACCTCTGCAGATTATGTAAATGTAGAATAGGCCTAAATGAAATTTTCTGTGATTTTTTACTTGGTTTTTCTTCAATAATATACCTAGCAACCTAGGTAATATTACCTTATCCATACGGCATTCATTACCGTATTATAATTATTAATGTGATATTACTTTATCCATGGACATGCCATTGATGATTGAGCATTGACAAATGACAACGAGTCAACGACCTTGTCCACTGCAAGCTTCATATCAGCAGCCATGTAGGTGTAGCATTTCTTCTGCATCTGGAAGCTTACAGGATGGTTTGTAATTTTGCACAATTTTAATAAAATGTCAAGTGATTTCACTATAACAAAAAAGATTGTAAAAAACAAACCTGATAGAGGAAAAAATATTTTAGTGACAAACATCTTATTTTTTGAGAAATAAATCATACCTAGTTTACCTAGATGAGTACCTACATATACTTAAAGCATCACTTGTATCATAAATAACGTTTTCATTGTAAATATTCTAAGTGCATTAAACTCTGTAAAGTTGCTGTATGCGTCCCACACTCAGGATGATGTATGTTTTTGGTGAATTTTCCTGCGCATTTTCACTTTTTTTAAGCTATTGCTGTGCACAGTTGGCGCAAGCTGCAATGTAATGAAAATTGATCCTCGTTGCGCACGTGTTCGCGCAATCCCGGCCATCAATTCTACATTGCGCTGCTGCGCACGAGCAGTTTGTGGAGGAACAGACGTAATACCGTCAACCGGGGCTACTCGGGACAGATTTGATCGTTTTTTTGTTAATAACTGTTAATAACTTATTACGATGAAACATTTCATGAACAAATTTAGGCTCATTTTATAGCTCTTTGCCAGGGCTATCGAATGGCATCGTCAAAAAAATTCCATATGCTATTCCTAAGGTGCCAGACGCAAAATAGAGATTGTCCCGAGTAGCCCTGTGGGTCAGGGCTACTCGGGACAATGGGAATAAAACTTCATTTCAAAACATTTGAAGCATGCAGAGCATACTCATCTATTATTAAAAGTACTCTGAAGTTCTCCTCTTTCATTGTAGACCATGTAGAGGTAGAATAAATGACATTTTCTGGGATTTAACTTGTTTTTCCTTTATTGATATGATATTACCATAAACATTAATTACCTTCAACTGGGGTGACTTCAGCCTCCTTTTTTATTCATGCTGGGGTCGTAAATGCGGTGTCGTAAACGCCAGGGTCATAAACGCCAGGGTTGTAAACCAGGTCATGAACGCCTGAGTGACTTTGGCCATTGTTTATGACCATTTATGATCCTGCTTTGGCCATCATTATGAACACAGCTGAATTACCATAAACCCACATATTCAACAAAACTTACCCCAGCAACACAACCCAGCATCACCACCCCAAAGACCCACTCAACAACCACAGTCATTAGTTCTACCAAACCCTCCAAACCAAAACCAAAACAAACCACAACTACAACCAAAAAACAGAGGAAACAGCCGAAATACCCTTAAAGTTCTTCAAATAAACATAAACACACTATCAAACAAAATAGATGAACTAGCCCTACTTGCCAAACAACAAACTACAAACAATCCAAAACACAGCACTCCGCATTGCAACAGGTTGTACAGCTGATACTAACCAAAGCCACCTACACACAGAAACAAAAATGCTTCCAATAGACCAGCACCTCAGACTCCATGCATCCCAACTCAGACTAAAAGCACAATCACCAACCCACCCACTTCACACTCACACTCAACCTTACAACCCACCCAGACTTATGAAACAAACAGTTTTCACAAACAGAAACTATACCACTAACATACTCATAGAACCAGACCAAGCCACAACAGAAACACTAAATAGATGCAAGAAACAAATACACACTACAATCACAACTAACTACATAGACAATCTACCAAACAATGCTGTACTCTTGGCACCAGCACCAGCCATAGACTCTTCAGAAACCCAATTACCCAGGCACACACGCTGAGCACTAGCACAACTCCGTACAAACAAGTCCCCCCTACTACACCAATACCTACACAAGATAGATCCAGCCACACATCCGTCCCCTCTTTGTCCACTCTGTCTCAGACATGATCACAACACCTGCCACCTGTTTGGCTGCTCGGAACTGGTCACGCCTTTGTCGCCCCTGGTTTTGTGGGACTCTCCCATCGAGGCGGCGGGGCTGTTAGCGCGCTGGGGAGAGAGGTTGGGCTGGCCACAGGAATGGGTGTAGGCCCTGTCCCGCACTTGTCGCGGGACGGGGAGGGCGAATAACAACAACAACACAGCTGAATCCCCCAGTTGATGGTACCCTATTATTGATGGGATATTACCATATCCATGAACATGCCATTGAGCATTTACAACAACCTTGTTCACTGCAAGCTTCATATCAGCAGCCTTATAGCATTTTTTTTCTGTATCTGTAAGCATACAGGACGGCTTGTAATTTGTGTGACGATAAGTGAACTTTTTTTCGCTCAGCAAGGTAAATGTAATCAATATTCTTTGTTTTTAATCAATTTGTTCTTAACTGGAGCCTTTGCTAACTGAGGTTCTACCGTAAATGCGTTTTTGGGGGTGTCCCTAATAGCCCCGGGGGGGTGTCCCGAGTAGCCCTGCCCTGCGGAAATGGCTGCCATTTCTTTTTGGAATGAGATAGGCAAATACTGTCAATTACGTTTTCAAGCCGACACCTGGGTGCAACTTTTATGTAAGTAAAATTTTTTAATACGGCGAATATTTTTTTTGCTACATACCTTAGCAGTTGTAACTTTACAAAATATAGTTTTTCACCATTTTTTTCAGGAATTTTTCAAAGCAAGTAAATGTAGTATTTTTTGACTTCCTTTTTACTACATAGATAGGAAAAATGTTGACGTTTACGCCACTATTTTTAGTTTTGCAATATTCCAATTAGTTTTGCTACTACAACAGTTTAACGACGTGTCGGAGGCCTGTCCCGAGTAGCCCCGCTTGTCCCGAGTAGCCCCGGTTGATGGTACTCACATTACTCAGTACAGTATGCCTCTAATTATCTTTCAATAATATATGATTTTTCTTGATATGGAAATTTGGTGAATGAGAAATCTTGAACTTTATTTTAGAAGAAATTTTCTCCAAAGTCATATGGCAACACTGAACACCGTCTGTTTACATTTCGAATGTATAATAGCCGCAGTTTACGATTACCGTACGTTCCGTATCCGACAAGGCGGACAAGCGGAAGAGTCAGAAGTAACCCGGACATGTCTTACATTTTATTATTGTCAGTTCGACTCGCGACTCGCGTAGTCAATATACTCGCGTATATTGTCAACTAAAATAGTAGAACTATTTTAGCTTTCTAAAGTACGGCGCACCGCGCAGGTTGTTAAAATGACAAAATAAATTCCCGCGCACCTGGCACATCTTCCTGACCATGGTATGTGTCCAATGTCAACATGCTGGATGAAATACACCAAGAAGCGAAGACTTGTATATTCCGCTCTTGAAGTAATTATGTTAGTCCGGGAGCTTTGTGCACGATTTAATAAGGGGGTAATAAATCGGCAGACTTGATCCTTGTTTCCTTATATTTCGGCGTCAAAACCTGCACGCACAGGATTCTATAAGAGTGTGAACATACAAGAAACAGAGATCCTAGAATGATAATAAGTCTAATAGACGCAGCTCCAGAAGGGAGCTGCTTTAAATCGAAATACAAAAGACCATGATCATATATCATGATAATTGATTTTATGAACACAGCTCCAGAAGGGGGCTGCCTAATTTCAGGCGAGTGCAACATTCAATACACGAGATCAATCGTACTCTACTTAATCTAATTAATCTCATCGGTCTGTCTCATGACCCTAACTGAATACATAGCTTATAGCAACTTATAAGGCACATAGAGCAGAGCGGGCAATAATGAACGGTAGAGCGATCACATGTAGCCGACCACAAATGATTCCGACGGATTCAATTATTCAATATTAGCTAGCAATAACAAAATGATCTTTTTAGGATCTGACAGAAGCAAGCTACTGCTAGAGTACTAGGTTACTGACACCTTTTACATACAGGCCGACTGCTAATGGTAATTAACTAGTGCTAGGTTACTGGCCTAGTTTTCCAAACTGGCTGACTACGGTAATTAACATGACACAGGGTAAATTCGTAGGTTTGTTAACTTACGGTCTTTGAGGCTCTAGAAAGACGAACGTGGACTTCAATTCTTCAATGCTTTTCTAACGAATAGCTTTTTATACTAGTAATACCGTACGATACCTGCAAATATGGAATAAAGTATTTAGACTGGAACTAAAGACCATTTAACTTCATGGCACTGCAGCTTTTCTGACAATCCCATTCATTCTCAAATCGACAATATTTCCATACAACCAAGGCACACTTGACATGCATTAGCTTCAAAAAGAAGCCAAATCAATTTGCAATGATTAAATGATCATCTGTAGCAACTAGCCATTACAAAGCATTCTCCACAAGAATTCTATTTTTAGGGCAGAACAGAAACTACTAGATCTAGCTCACGACAATTATCGCCTTGAGATGACGCTGTATTGGTTGATTTACTAAGTTGATTCAAATCAAACACTAATGGATTGAACAAATAATTCAAATATAACAGACATTCCGTGACATGCCGCTGGCTTAGAGGCGCCCATCTTGACACTAAGTGACGTACAACTTCACACAACAGCTTCAGGAATAAAAAGTAATCACTGATATTCTCACAAACAGTTTCTGCTCGTTCATAAAAAACTCAGTCATCCAGTAAATGCACCTATTTCACATTTGACACTCATAAACACGGAAATAAATTTGGCAGAGCTTGCCTCGTTGCCGATCCCAACTTCAACTGCGCGCGCATCGGCCGCGTGGGTGCTGCCGGACTTGAACTTTCCGGAATTAGCAGAGCATTCGATAATTTGCATACTACGATACACATTTAACATTATATTTACTTTACAGTTTAAAGTTACTATCTCGAGCTCCTTGGTCAACGATATATTGATACTATTTTTACACGTTGAAATGAACGTGACATTGTACAAAAAAAAAAACATCATCTATGAAAGGACAAAATAACAGCAATAATTGCAATAAATTTTGTATGGTGGATGGATGGATAAGGTGATAACTGTAATATTACATCAATGAAGAAAAAACAAGTAAAAATCACAGAAAATTTCATTTATTCTACATTTATAGTGGCAAACCAGAGAGGTTTTTAGAAATCAGCGCATTTTCAATTTCCTCATCTACTCAATATTTTAATAAATATCTTATATATTTATCATGATCCTGGTATCTAAGATAGGTACTTAATAGTGTGCATATAGCCAAAGTTACAGGACTAAAAAATGAACTTGAGGAAGGGTAACAAAAAAATGTTCTCCTCTGCCACCATGCGAGTCTGCATGCTTCAAATGTTTAAAATTGAGTTTTATTTCAAGTGTCCCTGACTCCCTTTTTACTCCATTTCCAGATTAATTCAGGAGCCTTTTATATTGCATCTAGCACCTTACAAATAGCATATAGAATTTTTTTGGAGATGCCATATCATGATAGCCCTTGCAAAGACCTTCAAAATGAGCCCAAACTTGTTTATGAAATGTTTCATGGGAAGAAATTATTAACAAAAAACGCTCAAAACCATCCCTTTTTACCCCGTTTGATGGTAGCTATATTTGCTTGGGCTCAATAATTTTGCTGGTCAATCATGTTCATGTAGTCACTGGCTTCAGGAACAAAAATCTGCCTCAGCATTTAACTCGCAGCTCCTTTGCTTGGTGAAAATCTATTTCATCAGGTAACTCGTAGAAACTCTACTCACTTGATAAAGACCTTAGCTGTTTGCTCTTCAGACTCAAACTCATTTCCACATTGCACCAACCATCAGTTTGGTTGTGCCACAAACACCTTGGCTGGTTGCCACGAAACCCCCGTACTTGACTAACTGCAGCAGTCCGCCATCCTGCTTAAATACCCCACAACCCCCATAGTGCGCCACTTGATCTTTACCCTAACGACCTAAGTTTTCCCCTATGGACAGTAATGACCGCGTAGCAGACCTACTTTCTATACCGTAAAATGGGGTAACTTAGACCACTTTTTTCTTTATAAATGATGCCATTCTTTTACTAGCTAAATTAAACTTGAATTGAAACATGCAAAATACAGGTCTATACTCTAGCTTCACTCACCATAAATTGCTGGCTCCTGCCTCTCATAGTCTTTACGTAATTTCAAAAAAAGTGATGGTCTTTGTTACCCCAGCTCTTGGGGTAACTTAGACATTTCTATTGTGTTATGTAGCCTCAGTATTAGGCCTTTAATGCCCATTGACAAAATTTTTCTATGTCAAATAGTTTTTGAGTTGTGGGGGTTTTTGTTAAAAAAACGAAAAGTGGTCTAAGTTACCCCGCCGGTCTAAGTTACCCCATTTTACGGTATGTTATTTATAAGTCATCGTATTTCTATTCCTAACACTGTAGCTAAGATCATCTTTATATACCAATAATTTATTCATTATAATTTATTTGCTTTGTATTTATTTGTTGCTTGGGTTGTTTAATTATTTGTTGTTGTTTTTGTTGTATAATTCCAATCTATTGATTTTCTGTGTCATAAGCGTGTAGGTACTTGCAAAAATCATATAAATTACACTGACTTACCTTTAGATTATACTGACCCCAACAATATGAAACACCAGTTAGTCCAAAAAATTGAAGATGCCTGGTAGGGATAATATCCAAAAATTTTCCACCATGCACTGTGAACTATTACAAACCCAATTAAAATACGTTCTCACAAGGCCCTCAAAACAAGTACGAATTGAAATTATAAAGTAAGAAACCTATCTGTTGAATGAATAATTATTGTATATACTTACCATACAAAAACTAATCTGATTTTTAACTTATTTTCCCACAGACACAATGATGCGTGAAGCATATGCTGCTCTTCCCACTGATGAGAATGATGCAGACGATCAAGATGATATACATGAAAGAATCACTCATAGTTGCATGGTATGTAGTGTATCTTCTATTATACCTGTCAACAAGAGTAGTGAATTTTTGGCATTGTTCAAACTTAAGTGCTCCCAAAAATGCATATAAAAATGGACCACTCCAGCCTAATTGACTTGATCAATTACATATATATTTTAGAATTGACATAGAAATATTTCCAGTTTCCAAGACTTCTTTTGCTTTGTATCAAAGATTCAAAACAGAATTTAAAGTTTCCATGGATAAACCTAAGTTAAAAAAAAAAAATTCCATCCTGAGTATTTGGTAAAATCAAAATTTCCTATCCTAATACTTAAGACCTGTTATCCAAATTACTCAAAATTTAACTTTTGTCTTGGTGTGATTTTGCTCTATATTTTTATATGGGATTGGAAAATACTGTATGTATATACATTTTTTGTCTAATTTTAAAATGTTTCCTATTATTTTTATTTCTATGTTAGCAAAATACAAGACTAAAATGTTATTATTATTGTAATTTTAAATTTTGTTTCAATGGTATTGAATATTCAGGACACACTGAAGGCAATGATGCCTAACAGTCTTGCTGGTGTTGGCTACCACAAAGTAGACAATGAAGATCCTGATGTTGATACGCAGGACTGTACCCCTACTCATGACCCCTCGTGTTTTGTGAGTAACAGTTGATACTCTTATCAACCAACATATTCTTTCATAAACCAACATATTCTTTCATATTTTGATACTCTTCTCTATTCTTTACAAATTTGAATTTAATACTTTATAATAGGTGTGACTTGGATTGAATGTGAGCTACAATATTATATATATTGTACCTATATGGTATGTATAATTAATGCAAATGGCATTTGCATTAATTGTGATTTAAGATATTATTTCTGCTAAAAATTTTTCATTTATGAGATGTATCTACTGAAATTTTGATTATGCTGGAATATTGATACATTTTTTATATTACTTTACACTCATGTTCAAATTTTCAATGTTCAACAGGTGATTATATTGATAAAACTATTATGTGTACTTACAATTCAGTAATTTAATAGCAGCACATACCTCCTAGGACTCTGTTCTGGATGCAGTCCCATCCCTCAGGAGCCATTATCACTATCGTCCTGTACAAATAGATGACAACGATGATGATGAAGAGGAAGCGATTTTCAATGAATGCAACTTGGTGAGAATTATGTATACATGTTGCATGACACGGGTGGTCTTGTCATGAAGATGAATGAGGTTTTCCTATCTATTTGCTATGTAACTAATTTAAGGATATTCGTTCAGGCATCTTCACTATGCATAGTTTTCCAGTACAACATCTGCTATAACGTCAAAACAATGTCCAAATATGCAAAAAAAGATGCCTGTTATTTTGTTCTTTAAAAAGGACAGGTGCAGAATAGAAGTTCTGCTGGGTGCAATTGTGTTATGAATTACATATATCATTACAGGTTTCAATGGAAGATAGAAATGGGTTACCACCTGATGCTATCCAGCAGCTACATTTTGAAGACCGATTGCATCTGCTATCAACCGCTCATGGAGTGCACCGTGTTGAAGTTCCTTATCATCAGGTATTGGATCTAATCTATTATTCTAGTTAAGTTTTATTTAAGATTTGCAAAGATTAAAAATCTGTTACTTGTAATCATATATAATTTAATTTAGTAGAAGAAAAGTATGTTTTCAAGCAGGCTAAGCAGCTATCTAATGGACCAGTATAACTATGCACGAGTGTCAAAATAAGTCATTTTGTAATCAGTTGTCCTCAAGTAGGCATAGTGATAACCAAAGAGTTACTTCTATGCAGGTCAATATACCACTTCTATGCAGGTCAATATACCTAATGTTGCTTTATCATAAATCAAATTTGACTAAAAGTTGAAGAAATCACTTCCTTTAATAGAATACATCATGCACAAAATAAAATTCATGTATATTGATTGAGTCTCAGACATTATTAGACATAATTAATTTCTGTTTTTAACTTTTAAGACTGGCCAATAGATGTAGGTACTCATGCATTTTATATACATACCACACAGAGTTCTATTTAAATTTTTTATATGGTTCATGGATGAAAATTGGTAGCATTTATAGAGCTGCAATTTCTGTTTGATTTGTGTCTCAATCTATATCAAACTTTAATCTCTTCTATTTCTTTCTGAATAAAACTGCATTCCCTTACAATTTCTTCCTCTATTGCTACAATTGTTGTAAAATTTAACTGCTCAAATTTCCCACCCTGTAGAAGAACTGGTGGTGCAATGAATCAATGCAGGTGCAAGTTAGTATGTATGAGCACTGATGACATTCAATTGCAAGATACATTTCCAGATATGCATATAGCGTTTCAGCATCAGCATAAAAAATTGCAACTCAAGACACCATCTGCTCAATATTTTTTCTTAATTTATATTTGTTGGATTGAATTTTAGTTTTTTAGGTAGAACAGTTACTTTCTTCTTGTGCCATTGCCCCTTTATTTTTTAAATGTTGATTATTTTTCATGTGCATACATTGTTGAAATATAGGTATGCTTCTTTGTTTAATCATATGTATATAATAAATTTCCATGTTTGATTTTAATTCTGAAATGATCAACAAATTTATACACTTGAATAAGATTTGGTGCTATACTTTCGAGACAACAGCTTTGATATGTATCAGTTTTACAGACTGGCGGAGGGCGCCGTGTACCGCTAGGGGCGACCGCACGCTACGGCCGTAACTTAAAACACGGCACTCAGAAAGCGTCGCGATTCATCTCAGGAGTGACAAAAGTGAGCTCACTCACTACTTTGAGAATATTTTGACTACCATGTTAGATGCAATGAACCTGACTGATTTAAACTACCTACTATGTTGCTGGAAAAGTTCACATTTTCAATCTTATTTTACCCGTCCACATTTAGACTCGTATCACATTTAGTCAATTAAACTAGCTCCAGTTTGTAATTCTCAGCGAATTCTTGTGATAATTCTCCAATTGCAACTTAATTTAATCTTTGAATTTCATATATATGATGAACCCAACACAATTTTCCCTCCTACTTGTGACAACTCCACAATTAGTACCTATTTGAATTTTCTCTTATATATATTTCATGTACAGAGAATGACGGTTGTTGGCACCAAAGTTCGGGCAGTGAGCTGGAGAGAAAACACGCAGCTCTTCGTCCGCTGGCTGCTGGTGAGTAGAGAGGCTACGTGCGCTCGCGATAACCGCTTCACTTACCCTGCCTTGCCAGGGGCCTTACTATCAAAACTTGCTTTAGTATACCCGTAGCAGCTGATTTCTTGCCTATGATAAGAGGTTTTAGGCAAGAAAAGTGTCAGTTATTGGCTGACGGAGTTAAGAAGTAACTTATTATTTTTGAGAGCACGGCCCTCGGGCATAAGCAATTGGCAGAGTTTAATCAGTCCCAAGTATGTTAGTTTATCTCAGTTGCCTAATTTAAATTGTTATTAATTGCAATTGCTTATAAATTATTATTTAATAATTAATAAGCAATTGCAATGGGTGATGCTACTGGCACCACTGTATATTTAATTTTCGCTATGCTGTAAATATGATGGTAAAGTTGCAAAGTTGCTTGGGCGTCAAGTCTATCGAATTATTTTTTACTTATTGCATTAATACATTAATTCCTAAAAAATGTGTGTATAACCACAACTGTAAGGAACGGAGAGATGGTTTTAATATCTCGAAAAAATGCATTCTTAAATTGATTCTTGTTGAATAAAAAATCAGGTAAATTCTCGACGCTCTTGCAACAGGAATTTCGACGCTCTTGTAACAGGAAAAGAAAAACATTTACTCTTAACACATAACATTACATAACATTTTACATAACTTAACTGTTCTGTAAGAGTAAATGTTTTTCTTTTTTGTCCGTTAAGAAAACGTGGTTTTAAAAGTTTTTTATTTGTTTTATTTTACTATCTTAGTTTTGTAAAAACCAGAAAAAGCTGGTTTTTAAAAATATTTTTTATATATATTTCTACTTTTTAGTTAGCAATTTTAGCCATTCAAATCAATTTCCAGGGTTGGCAAGTGTGGATGTTCTAGAAAAAACTCAATTCCAAACCGTGAATTTTTAGTGTTTTTTTTTTTATTTTAAATTTGTTTTTTTTTCAAATTTTTTTTTTTATTATTTCTGATGATCAAATCTTGAATTGTTAGGCAGCATAAGCATGCATGCCAAATTTCAACTTACTAGGATGTTTAGAAGTGCTCTAAATTAAGGTTTGAATTTTTGATGACAGACACACACGAAACCAAGTCAAGAAAAACGTGGTAAATTTCTCGAAAAAATGTATTCTTGAATTGATTCTTATTGAATAAAAAATCAGGTAAATTCTCGACGCTCTTGTAACAGGAATTTCGACGTAGAAAAACGAGTAGAATCATTCCTAGTTCGTGACTATCACTAGCTTTTGGTAGTTATCCATGTAAACGTTGATTTCAAATACTTCAACATTGGATTAAATGTATTAATCAATTGAATATTTCATAAAAGATAAAGACCGCTTCATTGATATTGTTTGGTATAGTAAACCTTGATGTAATTTTAGAAAAATATCTTCGATTCATGAAAACTGAATTATATCACGCTATCTCCTGCTGCGTAAACTTCACTGTTAATTTCTAACCAATCTCGCAGAACTGCCGGCGGGTGTTGGTGATGGTGACCCTCACAGTTATCATCGCGCTGCTCTCAATCATCGTCTGGACAACAAAGGATTTGTCAATGCAGTTCCAAAGACAGGCAAGACACATTTTACAAAAATAACACATTTTTACGTAAAAAACTGTCTGTCGTACAATAAATTTCACCAAAAAGAGGACGTCAGCTCCACCCTACAATCCATCTCAAAACCTAGTTTTTGTTATGAATTCTATTTGGAATTTGGTTGCATATTTATTTATTCTACATTTGCTGAAAAATTGCGTGGCTTCAGTTCTTTATATGAATTATGTGCCATAATTTCTGCTTCATTTTTTGATATGTACAATTTGTTGAATTATTTTATGTAATATCATGGTACCCTTATATATGCTCGTAATTGTACGAGAGTCAAAAATATTTGTAATTGATTTTTTTTTTCACTTGAAAGCAGCACCTATTAGTTTTGGATCTCAAGAAGAAGATAGACGATGTCGGGTTAAGACTAGACCGGAATTTTGAGGACCAATCGTTGCATTTCAACGATTTGAAGTCGAATGCTGCTGCACTAAACCTCACAGTTAGTGATGTCAGACTCAACGAAGTTCTTTTCTTATTACGTCGCCTGACTCCCACCACGACGTTGACATCCCGTGATGCAAAATTTCAAGACGTAGATCTCGCCGGTCCTTCTGCCAATAACCAAGCTGTTTCTGCACAATCTCGTGCAAAGGTGATTTAGAAGCGTATATTTCCATAATTTAAGCGTTATTATCAAAACATTTGTAGTAAGGCAGTGCAAAGTCTTATGCTTAGAGAAAAATTAATAAATAATTAAATATTAATTAAATAAATAAATAATTTGTTAATTATACAAATAATTAAAATAATTTGTTAATTAGTATAGTCGTAGCTCCGCAATATATAGGAGGTGAGCACTTTTCCTTAGAGTCCAAATATTGCTTGAGATTACGGCGCATTGTTTCCTTGAGTAATATTATTGATTAATCAACTGTATAATATTGATGTCGTAGTTATGAACCCAGAGCAGCATTCTCCCCTGATATCTCTCTTATTCTCTCCACCACAAGTGGCAGAGACGCTCTGACAATCACTACTCAGATATTCTGGCAACGCTGAGGTCAAGTAGCCAGGGCCTCTCAGGTGAAGCTTCGCCAAACTTGGCAATTCTCTTTAGAATAGAATAGAAGTGTCGGCATTGAAGAAATAGGCCCATAGCCTCTTTGTTTCACGCATCAAACTAATGTTTAATTTCATTGATCCCTTTTCAAAAAGCAAGAAAGTTTTGTTATTCTGTTCTAAATTTAGAATCAATGTACAGGAATTTGCATCCCAATACGTCTAATATTAGGAATAGATATTTATGAGCCAAATCTTTTGAAAATAGCTCTAAGATTTTACAAAAATTTATTGTATAATGCGTTTAGTGCTTGCAAAATTTACCGTTATAATTTGGTACCACTCTAAATGCTTCGGTCTTCCATGTGAACTATAATTATTTATTTTATTGTAATTACAGTTTTTTATAATTTATGAACTGATTATTTATAAATTATATTATAATTATTTATTTATTGACAGGTGGCGTGATATCGTCCATCATCGCTTGCCTGGTGGCGTTTTTCCGACAGAGAATCTGTGTTGGATGAACTCTACTATCAGGCAGTGCTGGCTCTCCTGAAACTGAATCGCTGTGCACTCAATGTGCCTGTATGAAATCTAGTTAATCTTAATTCTCGCGTATTGTTAATGAGCAAAATTATCAATAACAATTTTTTTCCTGGACCACGCTTATATTAATTTAAAATCAACAAAATCGTTTGCATTCAGTGGCGTGTGTTTCGGGCTTTAGTATAGCATTTTCAACGGTTCTTCTGGTTCATTCAACGTGGGAATAAAAGCAGAACATGGAATTGAAACATAAATTAGCGCAAAAATCCTATGAATTGGAACGTGAGACTTCCAAAACATGAACAAATCAGTGAGTTTATAACGATAAATGTGATGCATTCATTATAATGACAATTCACAACGGTTGCGCTGGTACAAGGTCCGTGACGCCTGGTTATATGGTACGAAGATGATGCTGCTGGCGACAGTGTTCCGAGTGGCTAAAAACAACCAAACCTCGACCTACAAAATTTGTCAAAAAATTCTGCGACATTTTTTTCCGTGTAATGAATAGTAATGCAAGCCTTTAGTGCTCATTCGTGTTTTATATCGCCTGCTGCGTTTATCTTTTCACCGTTGTTAGAACTAAGAGTTACTATCTTAATAACCCTCTACCGCCGGACGTGAGTAACCGGAGCAATATTGTATGCCTTCCCGAAAAAAAAGGATACGTTCTAGTGAGCGCAAAATGACTTGCGCTGATGGTTGCCGCCACGTACGACAACTTTAAAATGTTCTCTGTTGCGTACAAACGTCCTCAGGTTGCTAAACTCAATAATTTACGTATAATTGTATGTTCCCGTAGAGTGACCTACGGCGGTAGAACGTAAATTTCCTTTTAACTAGCTTATCTTTAAATTTCCTTTATCGAAATTCGTTAAAATTATACCTAAATCTAAGCCTAACAGAGTCCCTAATAACAGCGCCAAGAGTTATTGATTGTTGTTTATTAATGAAATAATACCCGATGGCTAAGATTAGATTTTCCCGGGCTGCTGACAGCCTTCTCTATTCTGTGATAATCTGTGTTGTTGTATCCTGCTGTGATGTTACCCAGGCCTGCACAAACGTCAAACTCAAACATTCCAGGCTTGTTTTTGTTAAGTTTTTTAAAAATACGTTTTCTGTTTCACTATAGAGAAGCATTACACAATTTGTTGTATAGAGAAGCATTACACAATTTGTTGATCATACAATATGAACATCGGAAATATCTAGATCACTCTGCTAGAATTTAAGCGTCTCGTTTTAAAATCTTCTCGCCATCTTAGCTTGAGATGTTGCGTATACTTTAATGCTGATCTAATTCGAGAACTTGTTTCTGGGTACAAGGAATATCTTCGTGTTTTATCATTAGATGAGAGCTTGTAGATGGAAGTTACATTTTTGCGTTAAAGGCATGTTAAGGTTACGAACTCATCTTGTAGTTCCGTAAAGAGTGCATTCATCATTTATGCATTATGATCAAACATATACGTAGACTCTTGGAGTGATGGCTAAGCTGTTGATGGAGATAAGTATGCTAATGTTCGAATTCTTTTTAATAAATTCACTTCTAATTTTATTAAAGTACGCATTTTTAATGAATTCATGGATGGCAGCGGTAGCGTTTAGGCTATTAAATCGTGACCCTATTGGGTGCTTGCTTGGTAACGAAGCTAATGTGCAGTAACTGTGGAGTTGTTGCACATGTTATTTATTTGAATGAAAAGTTAGTTTCACGTGATAATCAAATATTAGTAGATTGTTTTATCAATCTAAGTTAATGTTATGTACAGAATTAAAATATCATTCAACGAATGTTCAATTTTTTCTAGTCTCTAGTCTTATTGTGTCAAACAATGACTTGAAGAATGTGATTTATTTCTATTGTGTATCCATGCTTTGCAATACCATGAGTTATAAGTTATATAAAAGCACATGACTGTGTCGTTCCGTACGAAACTAGACAAGTTCTCGAGAAGTTATGATATTTAAAGCTACCAAAGAAGACCACCTTACATCTCTTGATGCCTTTTTTACGTTTTAAACTCAATAATAATTTGAGTGGCATTTATTTTGTAGTTTTGTAGTTAAGTGTTATGTGATAACAGATCTTACGTTTCAGCTTGTACTGATAGGTATAATTTATATCGAGTTTAGAGGTTAGTAAAAACCGAGTTAATTTGGTAAAAGTCAGTAACGCCAAAACCGCTCCTTATGATCTCCTAACCCATGCTCGGTTTTTCCCTCCTAACTTATGCTGGATGGTGATCATCATCAGGATGGCCAGTTGTGATTTAAGTGAATCTTTACTTGTGATCATTGTCAACGGTAATGCACAGCGCCCGTCACTAATGTCTTTGCGTACAAGTATATTCGTGGTAATTTAGGCCTTAGTTTTGCAGGCTTCTCATTTGATTTTGTACCTGCGGGCTCAATACTAGTATAGGTAAGTGTTTAGATGGCACATTCTTTTTGACATTAAACATTTCCCTTGTTTGTGCCTTTTATTCATCTTCCTAGTAAACTGAAAACTGGAACGAAAAATGATGGACAAAGTCGTTAATGTTTGAAGCGCCGACGATCTTGTGCGCTCGGGAGGACCGTTAGGCGGAGGACGAGGAATCGCAACTAGAAGAGGAGCAAGGGTAATTAACCCTCTACCGTCTGACATGAGTAACTGGAGCAATATTGTGAAAAGCCTGCCCTAAAAGGATACGTTCTAGTGAGCGCAAAATGGCTTGCACTGATGGTTGCCGCCACGTACAACAACTTTGAAATGTTCTCTGTTGCGTACAAACGTCCTCGGGTTGCTACACTAAATAGTTTACGTATAATTGTCTTTTCCCAGAGAGTGACACGGCGGTAGAGGGTTAAGGTGTCCTTATCTTTGCTAACGCTTTTATTGTACTGTTCCACTGAGGAGATGCTCAGGGTGGTAGAAAAGGAGGAGCAGTCCAAAATATGCTTGATGGAATAGAGGAATGTTTGACACTCGGAGTAGGCGGTGCTTGCTGAGTACCCCGTCCTAATAATGTAAGATAACAGGGAACTGCTGCAGCCTGAACAGTGTTGGCGGGGAAGCCAGGCCTTTTTTCGATCCTGGGTAGTGGTACAGCCAAGACCCTGTTGATCTCGGCGGTCTTAGCATTGCGTATGGGAATCTTCATATGGAGAGTCAGTTTCCTCTCCCGTAGAAACCAGCAAGCATGATGGGAATAGAAGGGTGCCTCCTGAAGGTCAAATATGGACGTGTGTGCATGGTATCCTTCACGAGTCTGTCTCCGAGAGGGCAAAAAAATATAGGCTGGAGGGTGGTTTAAAAGGATGCGTGTGAGGGCGCTGTGAAAGTATGAAGGTGGTCCATTGAAGTTATATTGAGGCATCCGGCAGGCAACCTCAGGGCCGCGTACAGAACAGTATGTAGTCTTGCAACGGCGATGCAAGAGACGCTGGAGAACCAGGTGCGGCTACGTAGTCAAGGATTGGGTGCGTGGTGGTTTTGTAGGTGGCAATAACTTCCCTTTTCAATAATGACCATTTGGTGTCGATTAAGCGTTTTATGATGCGGAGGGATCCTGTTACCGTGTATCAGTGGCCTCGATGTGAGAAGCGAACGCGTTCACAGTATTTCGTAAGTGTTCTCTGTGAACACGTTCGCACGTAAGTGTTCACTGTGAACACAGTGTTCACGTTGTTCACTGTAAACACAGTGCTCACGTTGTTCACTGTGAACAGAATTTCGTAAGTGTTCACGTAACAAAATTCATTCATTTATCTGAATTTCCACTGAGACGATTATTATTTTCGTGGATAGATAGACTCGAAACCTTAGGATAAATTCCTGAGGAGGAATGATTACAAAATGAATAATAATTCGTACGATTCAAACGTAAATAGAATAAAAAATAGGTCCTTATCCGCACTATGACGTTCATCGAAGGACTGGAACAAATGCTCTCCATTGTATATGACTTTGGTTTGCAGTACTACCCCCGGTGTTACAAAAAGCATTATATAGTAGGCAAAATCGATGACAAATTGAGCACATTCAAGAAGCATGGCCAAGGAGTACGAGCGAAAAAAGTACGTTAATTTTTAATCTAAACAACTTAATTCAAGCCTAATTGAGTAGAATGTATGAAAAAGAGGTGACTGTTAGGAAAGTCCGACATGGATTGCAGTCATTTCTATTAATTACAAGTGGGGAACAGGTTCGCTTTACGACCGAACCGAGTTCCTGTACGAACTGAGTTCGTAAGGCGTGGTTCCATTTTATCCGAATTTGTGTGGTCCGTGTTCTATGAAAATTTTTGAAATGTAATACAGCTTGGCGCATTAATTTTTTATATTCAAGGCCCATTTCAAAAAAATTACCCTAAAATCCTGTCGACTAAACAAATTGGCTGCCGTACTTCGTATTACAGTACACTCGAGACTAAAGCTCTTGATGGATATATTTTCATATTTATAGGTTAAATATTATTGATCGATTAGATTACGAGCCGAAAGAACTTGTTAAGTTCAGCACGCTGTATCAATATTGATCTCTCTGGAGTCGGTGGCAGCACAGGAGCTCTTGGTATTGACTGACATGCCAGCCACAGCAACGCGGGACGTGGTGGAGTAAAGGTGTGTGTGTGTGTGTGTGACGACTTCCTTGTCGCGTTGAACCTATTTACTGTATCTTAATTTTCACAACGTTACATTTTTTAATATACCATCACCAGCATATTGGTTAGTTTTCTGCCTTATTGTGCATTAGTAACTATAGTTATTGGTAATTTTTGTAAAAACATCAAATCGCTGACAGTGAATAGCGTTCAGGCCTTTGGGAAGGATTATGTGACTCGTGGTGCAACGTTATATGGAAGTTGGAAGTGCTCCTTCTCACTTCCTGTCGTTATAATTATCGTGCCTTCTATTATCAGTGAGAATTGGCAAAAATTTTGCATTATTTAAGACAATAAAAGGAGTAACGCTGTTTGTGTCACTAAATTACTAAGTCTGACTGTCTGCGTTGGAGTTCACCATAAGATTCTGAAAACGCAGATTAATGTCGAAACTACTTACCTAACCACTGATTCGCATTTCGCACTGACAAGTAATGACAAATGACGCCTCTTTTGAGTCTTGAGACGTAACTATTGCATAAAAATTATACATTAGTAGGCTATGAAGTGATTTTACTCATAAATTCCCTCAGCTTAGATTTTCATATCAAGAATTATCAACCGGCACCATCGTAGTTTATCCTGCCAACTTCTAAGTTCAGTGTCAATGACATCGCAACTGCGCATTCTACGCCCGGTTCGCCGCAGCGGCCTCATATTTACGAGAACCGTATACTGTGAAATGTATATAGATGCATTTTAATATGTTCAAGTTGTACGTTTAAAAATTTTAAAAAGCTTCAATCTTACTTCTTACGATAACGTTTTTTTTAAAGCGCATTTGACCTGTGTCACCTGTCGTACTGTTTGAAGGCCGGCGACTCAATAACTGTGGCGACTCGTGTCGTGTCAGATACCATAGTTCATAAATGCTTGACCTACCGTATTTCATTGGAATATTTCAAACTGTATTACATGATTTAGCTTCGAGACTTCCAATTGCGGCCTGCTGCATACAATGTTTGCAGTATGAATATGTGTGGTTGATGTTATAGTCAGGAATTACATTAAATGTATAGCCTCTAAGGCTCTAATATATTCTTTTAATCTGGTTTCATTGAAGACCAGAGAATTCGTTTAATGACAATTTTCTTATTAGTTTTTTTCAATGGATCGAACAACATTTTTCGTTTGCACTGGTAAATCGAAAGTCATAGTGCCGATGGACATTTTTATTTCTTTCTCTAATATGTATGTACAATTTTAACTGACAATTTGCCAATGATAGCTTGATGATATTTCACGAAATTACTAACTTGAAAAAATTTGGATGTATGTTTTCGAATGACAGATTGTTGGTCATCTTCTTATTGAACTTGAAATATAGACTTCCTCTAAGAGCATAGTATCTATTGTGTCGTGGATACAAGACAATGAGCTTTCATTTCATATGTAAGATGAAACGAACCTTAAACGCAGCATGGAACTATTTAGTTTAAGTTAACTTAAAAGCCTCCTGCTTTGTTGTATCTGTATAGCCAGCCCCACGTGCCGTCAAAGTTTCCAATACAATTTTGCTAAAAATTAGAATTTTTGCTCTCAAACACAGCATATAAATGATTCGTAATTCTGTAATCACATTGAAAAATTTGAACTTCGATAAAATTCTTTTGACCTAGACAAAATTTGTCTAAACAAACGCATACATGTAGCGGCCAATATCTTATCTGGGATTGTTGTGTTTACCTCGAAAAGCCGTCTGTGATTGGTCGTGAGAGTTGCGAACCCTATAGAAAACATTATTGACAGTAATAGCCCAGGAATTTGTCTAATTTGCGAAAATAGCGATCACTTTAATACTGAAATATACTTCGCGACGCACCGGAATGTTTCCGCGATTTCGATGTTATTTGCGATTATTATTGATATAGTTGAGGATTTATTAACTGTTTAGTTATGATTATGATTGAAACTGTGGTTTTAAAGGCAGGTTCTTCCTGAGGGATCATGACAGCAGTGCTGCCCGCCGCGCAGATGGCGGACCAAGGTGAGTAGGTATTTATAATTGTTTTTTTTTTTTCAATATATGTTAAATGAAATATACCACCGCGCTGTACAACAATCAAGCAATGCAACCGTGCATATTATTGTCTCACACGGACAGATGGATGGGTCGCATAGTCTAAATAGTGACTCAGTTTTCTGCACGTATAGCACTGATAAGCCCTCTTGCTAGGCGTTTGTGGGTCAAGATGACCCACAAAAGACAAAAAATATAACTCAGTACTCACTGCAGTGAGTGACAGAGAGCGCATTTTCTCGTCGACGAAAACGTGAAGTCACGGACGGACAGACAGACGAATGGACATGTCGAGCACAATAGCGCATATATTCCATGAATGAGAAAATGAGCTAAAAAGTGCATCGCTGTTTGGACAAAATCTCGCTCATTTCTCTGAGGAATGAGACTCGAACTTTATACAAAGAAAAGTTTATGGGCATTTTTGACACACAAAACAATAACCTCTGCATGTAACATCTGATTATATGTACAATTAATGAGATTCATCACGCTCTGTCGTCTTGTATAACTTCCTGTAATATTTTTCATACTCCTACGAACATTTGCCGTCAGTTTGATTTTATTTCGTCATCGTTTCCTAGATTATACTTGCCATTTGGATCTGTTATTTAATTTTTGTGTGTTTGTACGCGTCATAATTAAAAAGCTCGAATTGCAAAAGCAATTTCGCAAAACGGCCTGTACAGCCTGTCATCCACTTCAATTTTTATTTAAATGTTCTTAAATGAAACATTATCAAAGGCTTAGCCTTGTTTATGCGTTTTAATTCTGGTCGCATTAAGCCTGTTTTTCTGTAGTCTTATATCCCTGATTTATATAAAAAAACAATGTTTTTTATATAATTGGGTTGAAGACTTGCTCCGGTCAATAGCCCGTCTGTATTGCCTCCCGTTTCCTCATTGCTCAAAACCACAAATGGCTGCAAATTTTAAAAACTAAAAACGTTGGCGCTGGAATTTTAGTTGCTTACTCGTTGAACCATTCTTCTTAGTCATGGACTTTTTTAACCATGGTTTTTTAAGTGGTTTTAACCGTAATTTTATAGTCAGGGACTGGTCCACTTTTTCTTTGTCAAGGGTTTAACCATGCTTTAATATTTTAACTCGATTTCTCTTCTCATGCGTTGAACCATTCTTCTTGCTCATTGGTCTAACTGTACTCACTTTTAACGGTCTTCCACAGTCCTTTGTCTCATATAGGCATAACATTTGCTTCTTCCCTCTGGTTTTAACGAAGCTTCCTGCCGAGTAGTTGATATCACCAATAACGAAGCACCAAGTTGAGGGTTTGAGACCCGCAAATGGTTGTGAAAATCCTAGTAAAAATGACCATGGGGGACCAGGTGGTTTAGAATCAGCTTCAGGCAAACGTAGCTTGATCAAGAAGCTGACTCCACTCTATCATTATTTAACATTAGATTGTATGTGTATTATTAGCGCGTTTTTTCATTTATGCAAAAAATGCACTATTGTGCTCGTTATTTCCGTCCGTCTGTCTGTTTGTCCGTGACTTAACGTTTTCGTCGACGAGAAAATGCGCTCTCTGTCACTCACTGCAGTGAGTACTAAGTTATATTTTATTATATAAGACTAAACTATATTATATCCTATTATACAATATTCTACATTAGACATTATACAATATGCAGCGCTGAGCGGGCTGGTAGCGCGGCTGGAGCAGGCACGCAACAGGCTCGACAGCGACGACGAGGACTTCGGCTTCCTGGCGGAGATGTTGAAGTCCCGCGGCTTGCAGGCCTTGGTGCACGTCCACAATAAGGTGGTGGACTGGCTACTCTAGATATTTAAAATAGTTCATTATTAATAACAATATTGCTTTCATCTTGTTAGAAATTCTGTATTTAAGAATTTGTCACTAATTACGGCAATATTGCTACCTTATTTATAGGTAGTATCTCTATAATGATTTTATCATTAAAAACTGTATTCCTTTTTTTCTGATAGAAATACCGGTAGTTGATGATTTATCAATACTTGCAAAATTTATTTCATCTCGTCATAAGTAATTTACTAATAATTCAACACTTGTTACAGTATTGCTGTGCTGTATCATACATTCCCACATCATAATATCTATAAAGTAATCATTGTGCTGAATTGCATGATCGCCTTATTTAATTATTCTATTTTGAGCGACGACATACCGGTAACGCATATTAATGCCCCAACATGACTAAATCAACAAGCAATTATCAAGTTTCTAGTTTTAGCTTCTTTCGTATGACGAAATTGACGAGACTGAGGCAGTCGTATTTTCATGTTCAATTGTTCAATGGTGTCATCATGCATGGTATAATTTAAGCTGGCGAAATTATATCTTTTCGGTTGATTCTAATATTCAGTTGATAGTTCTAATTTCGTTTGTCGCAGTGTTTTTTGAAGTATTTATTGTTTCTGAATTTCTATTTTTGGTCTACCCATTGCTTCACTATTTCTAGTAGATCAATTCGAGTTCCGAAACAACGGCTTGTGAATACTCAGGCATTTCTCTTTTTTTTTAATTGTTCACAGTTGAAATCCGGGAATATCTCGCAGTGTGTCAGCATTTTTCCGCTATAATTCAAAGTTATGTCAAAGACTCAAACAAATTTTATTTTACTCCCTCTCTGTATCAAGTTTTGAAGTTTATTTCAAATAAATTTACTCCCTGAACTTGACAGGTGAACAGCGCGAAGAAGAACATGCAACCCGTTATGTCTAACGCCGAGGATATCGCCATTGCTTTAATGAAGGAAATTCACTACAAAAATATCCCATCCGCTGACGCCATCGAACTTTTCGCTCTTCTTCAGTCGCCACATCTACAGGTGAGCGTGTCGTACAAATACCGCTTTTGCGCTCTCGCGCTCAACCTGGATAAAAAACATCAGCTGGGATCTTTAATATTCATTTAGAAATGTATTTATATCCCCAGGTTTGCAAGCAATGACATATCAATTATATGTGTTTATATATAATGATATATCAATATCACCCCCGCTGGTCACCGGAATGCAAGGCCTTTCCCGATCTTTTATATTCATTTAGAAATGTATTTATATCCCCAGATTTGCAAGCAATGATATATATCAATATCAATTATATACCTATATTTATATATAACGATATATATCAATATCACCCCCGCTGCTCACCGGAATGCAAGGCCCCTATGAATGTTGACTTCCTGTCTGTTATTTATTGTACACGAATAGGAACTATCGTTAACAGGTCCTTTTGATAAGAAAAGCATGACTACCGTTAATGGATATGAAGATAATGGGTATGTATGTGCATCACTTCACCATACCATGACAGGGGTTGATACGCTAATGATGGGTTGTATTCCATAATGGATCACATAATGAGTTGTATTACAAAATAGGCTGTGTTACACGACCGGTTATACATATTACATAATGGGCTGTGTTACACGACCGGTTATACATATTACATAATGGGCTGTGTTACACGACCGGTTACATTACATAATAGGCTGTGTTACACGACCGGTTACATTACATAATAGGCTGTGTTACACGACGGGTTACATTACATAATAGGCTGTGTTACACGACCGGTTACATTACATAATAGGCTGTGTTACACGACCGGTTACATTACATAATAGGCTGTGTTACACGACCGGTTACATTACATAATAGGCTGTGTTACACGACCGGTTACATTACATAATAGGCTGTGTTACACGACCGGTTACATTACATAATAGGCTGTGTTACAC